TAAAATTTTCCATTTTAAGTTGGTTATTTCTGATTAATATATAAAAGCAAATAATAATGATATGGTAGGAGATACACACCAAACAGGATGTGTAAATTATTATATAATAAGTATTGTGCAATAGCAAGAAATTTTCAATTGCACAGTATTGCACAATAGCAAGAAATCTTCAATTGCACAGTATTGCGCAATAGCAAGAAATCTTCAATTGCACAGTATTGCGCAATAGCAAAAAATATCCAATAGCACAATATAGCGCAATAGCAAGAAATTGTCAATTGTACAGTATTGCACAATAGCAAGAAATATTCAATTGCACAGTATTGTGCAAAAGAAGATACTTCGTATAAATTGCTTATTTCTTGATCAATTTCAATGGGGTTTTATTCTTGAATTCTTGGGGTTCTTTAATATGCTGAATCTAACCGTGTATTAAGTTTTTGGATTTTGGGCCCCGTTTTTAAATTGGTCCACACTGAGGTCCAAAGGGTCCAAAATTTAACTTTGTTTGATTTCATCAAAAATTGAATTATTGGGGTTCTTTGATATGCCGAATCTAACCGTGTATTTAGATTCTTAATTTTTGGTTCCGTTTTCAAATTGGTCTACATTAAGGTCAAAAGGGTCCAAAATTAAACTTTGTTTGATTTTAACAAAAATTGAATTTTTAGGGTTCTTTGATATGCTGAATCTAAACATGTATTTAGATTTTTGATTATGGGCCCAGTTTTCAAGTTGGTCCAAATCGGGGTCCAAAATTAAACTTTTTTTGATTTCAACAAAAATTGAATATATGGGGTTCTTTGATATGCTGAATCTAACCATGTATTTAGATTTTTGATTTTTGGACCCCGTTATCAACTTTGTCCACATTGAGGTCAAAAGGGTCCAAAATTAAACTTTGTTTGATTTCATCAAAAATTGAATTCTTGGGGTTCTTTGATATGCTGAATCTAACCATGTATTTAGATTTTTTATTTGTGGACCCGCTATCAAATTGGTTCATATTGAGGTCAAAAGGGTCCAAAATTAAACTTTGTTTGATTTCATCAAAAATTTAATTATTGGGGTTCTTTGATATGCCAAATCTAACCGTGTATTTAGATTTTTAATTTTGGGTCCTGTTTTTAAATTGGTCTACATTAAGGTCCAAAGGGTCCAAAATTAAACTTAGTTTGATTTTAACAAAAATTGAATTCTTGGGGTTCTTTGATATGCTGAATCTAAACATGTGTTTAGATTTTTGATTATGGGCCCAGTTTTCAAGTTGGTCCAAGTTGGGGTCCAAAATTAAACTTTGTTTGATTTCAACAAAAATTGAATATATGGGGTTCTTTGATATGCTGAATCTAAACATGTATTTAGATTTTAGATTTTTGGCCCAGTTTTCAAGTTGGTCCAAATTGGGGTCCAAAATTAAACTTTGTTTGATTTCAACAAAAATTGAATATATGGGGTTCTTTGATATGCTGAATCTTACCATGTATTTAGATTTTTTATTTGTGGGCCCGCTATCAAATTGGTTCATATTGAGATCAAAAGGGTCCAAAATTAAACTTTGTTTGATTTCATCAAAAATTTAATTATTGGGGTTCTTTGATATGCCAAATCTAACCGTGTTTTTAGATTTTTAATTTTGGGTCCCGTTTTTTAAATTGGTCTACATTAAGGTCCAAAGGGTCCAAAATTAAACTTAGTTTGATTTTAACAAAAATTGAATTTTTTGGGTTCTTTGATATGCTGAATCTAAACATGTGTTTAGATTTTTGATTATGGGACCAGTTTTCAAGTTGGTCCAAGTTGGGGTCCAAAATTAAACTTTGTTTGATTTCAACAAAAATTGAATATATGGGGTTCTTTGATATGCTGAATCTAAACATGTATTTAGATTTTAGATTTTTGGCCCAGTTTTCAAGTTGGTCCAAATTGGGGTCCAAAATTAAACTTTGTTTGATTTCAACAAAAATTGAATATATGGGATTCTTTGATATGCTGAATCTTACCATGTATTTAGATTTTTTATTTTGTGGACCCGCTATCAAATTGGTTCATATTTAGGTCAAAAGGGTCCAAAATTAAACTTTGTTTGATTTCATCAAAAATTGAATTATTGGGGTTCTTTGATATGCCAAATCTAACCGTGTTTTTAGATTTTTAATTTTGGGTCCCGTTTTTTAAATTGGTCTACATTAAGGTCCAAAGGGTCCAAAATTAAACTTAGTTTGATTTTAACAAAAATTGAATTCTTGGGGTACTTTGATATGCTGAATCTAAACATGTGTTTAGATTTTTGATTATGGGACCAGTTTTCAAGTTTGTCCAAGTTGGGGTCCAAAATTAAAGTTTGTTTGATTTCAACAAAAATTGAATATATGGGGTTCTTTGATATGCTGAATCTAACCATGTATTTTGATTTTGGACATTGGACCATAATAGGTAAATTAAAAAAATTGAAGTTCTTAGACCACATTCTTTCTGTGTCAGAAACCTATGCTGTGTCAAATATTTAATCACAATCCAAATTCAGAGCTGTATCAAGCTTAAATGTTGTGTCCATACTTGCCCCAACTGTTCAGGGTTCGACCTCTGCGGTCGTATCAAGCTGCGCCCAGCGAAGCATTTTATTTATATTTAAAAGCAAATAATAATGATATGGTAGGAGATACACACCAAACAGGATGTGTAAATTATTACATAATAAGTATTGTGCAATAGCAAGAAATTTTCAATTGCACAGTATTGCACAATAGCAAGAAATCTTCAATTGCACAGTATTGCGCAATAGCAAGAAATCTTCAATTGCACAGTATTGCGCAATAGCAAGAAATATTCAATAGCACAATATTGCGCAATAGCAAGAAATTGTCAATTGTACAGTATTGCGCAATAGCAAGAAATATTTGATTGCACAGTATTGTGCAAAAGAAGATACTTCGTATTAATTGCTTATTTCTTGACCAATTTCAATGGGGTTTTATTCTTGAATTCTTGGGGTTCTTTAAAATGCTGAATCTAACCGTGTATTTAGTTTTAGGATTTTGGGCCCCGTTTTTAAATTGGTCCACATTGAGGTCCAAAGGGTCCAAAATTAAACTTTGTTTGATTTCATCAAAAATTGAATTATTGGGGTTCTTTGATATGCCGAATCTAACCGTGTATTTAGATTCTTAATTTTTGGTTCCGTTTTCAAATTGGTCTACATTAAGGTCCAAAGGGTCCAAAATTAAACTTAGTTTGATTTTAGCAAAAATTTAATTCTTAGGGTTCTTTGATATGCTGAATCTAAACATGTATTTAGATTTTTGATTATGGGCCCAGTTTTCAAGTTGGTCCAAATCGGGGTCCAAAATTAAACTTTGTTTGATTTCAACAAAAATTGAATATATAGGGGTTCTTTGATATGCTTAATCTAACCATGTATTTAGATTTTTGATTTTTGGGCCCCATTATCAACTTTGTCCACATTGAGGTCAAAAGGGTCCAAAATTAAACTTTGTTTGATTTCATCAAAAATTGAATTCTTGGGGTTCTTTGATATGCTGAATCTAACCATGTACTTAGATTTTGGATATTGGACCATAATAGGTGAATGTCCAATTTAAAATTTTTAAGTTCTTAGACCACATTCATTCTGTGTCAGAAACCTATGCTGTGTCAAATATTTAATCACAATCCAAATGCAAAGCTGTATCAAGCTTGAATGTTGTGTCCATACTTGCCCCAACTGTTCTGGGTTCGACCTCTGCGGTCGTATCAAGCTGCGCCCTGCGGAGCATTTTATTGGCGATTATATTTTAAAATATGGCTCAGTGACTGCTTAAAAAAAAACCTAATTTTTTTTCATGTATTATATTTCTCACTTGTTATAAGTAATAGGATAAATATATTTGGAATACAGGATCTTTTTAATGTCTACATGTCTGTCACACAGGGTTCACCTGACCTCAAACTCATTTCATGGTCATGATGGTGATGAAGGAAGAATTTTTGTGAATAAGTCAGTATGATACTATGAGCAATATTTCAACTATATTTAGTGTATGGAATGATTGTAAGGTGTTTATGTCTGTCTGGCAGGTTTCCTTTGACCTTGACCTCATTTCCATGGTTTATAGGTCAATGTGAAGTTTTCATGGTAAGGTCAGTTTCTCAGATACTATACACAGTAGGTCAATATTTGGTGTATGGAATAAATATAATGTGTCTGTCTGTCAGGTTTCACCTGACCTTGACCTTGTATTCATGGTTCATTGGTTAAGGTTAAGTTTTGTGATTTAATTCTGTTCTCAGATACTACAAGCAATAGGTTAACTATATGTGGTGTATGAAATGATTGCAAGGTGTACATATCTGTCTGATAGAGTTCATTTAACCTTTACCTCATTTACATGAATAATTGATAATGACAATGTATGTAATACTTGTTGTATAACCTTTTTATAAGACATTCAACATAATTTCAATCTTGATCAGTTAAGCAGGTGAGGAGGCATTTCAAACATGTGCACTCTTGTTGCAATTTGTTGTTTTTGGCAATTACCTGGAAAACTATAATAAAATTATATGTCATTTGGTCTCATTGGCAATCATACCATATCATCTTCTTATTATAAGCCAAGGAAAACAACTCAAAATTCCTAACATGCTTTGAATCATGGTTATTTTAAAAACCACCATTAATCACTGAAGGGTGAATCAATGATTTTAAGTGGCTTATTATAGATTTTCTTGATTGTCTTTCTTGGAAAAAAATACAGAGGAACCAACAAATTTTTCATGTAGAGTTACACACAATCATGTATATGGCTATTTTCACAAACACAATCGTGCAGGAAATTGGTTGTAACACCCTTACTCCTGTATTCTGTGATGTCAGTGTGTTTTGTTTAACTCATTTCAAGAATCTTATAGTACTTTATGTCCTTATTAATGGTTAATATCATTAATTTTAGAGATTATGGATTTCAATTTTCAGCAATATTTATGCTTTCTCTTTACAGAATGTTGGGATAGATAAAGGAGATATTCCAGACTTAGCAAAGGTCAGTAGCTGTAGTTTTGGGATAACTGGTAAAATAGCTCTCAAAAATTATAATATAAACAAGCAAACAAAAGCAATGTAGTGAGTAAATAAAGTTTGTTGGTTGGTAATTTCTTTTTCTGCAACAACAAAAAAATCATTCTTTGAAGCTCATTTTGTCCTACCAATGTAAGCTTTCTCATTTCTTGGTGTAAAGATTTTCTAAACATTATCTCCTCTAAAATTAGGATGTAGATTTGAATCTAAACTATATTGTTATCATCCTTATGCACAGTTTAAAATTTGATTTGGGTGTCATTATTGTAAATAGAAAAAACAAGGGGTATGTAAAACAGACAAAGGTTATTGTGATTGTGCAAATCATTTTTAGCTGAAATTTTGCAAGGTATATAAAAAGTAACTTTATTGATCGTCCCTCTGTCTGTATGACTCTGCTTAGCTCTTAATAAAATTGCATATCACGGCTTTGTGACATCAAATACGTTGACCCAGCCTTAATAACATTGACAAGGACATATCACTGATGTTGTAACGAGAGAACCGAGGTTGATAAGTTTGACCCGAACTTATCAAGTTGTCTTCCGATTTGCTGGTGAAACAAAGAAATACATTCAGACTACCCAAATACAACCTGATAAATTGTTTTTCTGGTTGTCTGCATAATTATATTGTAAAATAACATCTGCTCGACACAATATGAAGCCTTTTTGAACTCGTTCGCTGCGCTCACTTGACAAAAAGCTTCATATAGTGAATGTAACAATGTGGCAGCCAAGTGATGCATTTACTAAAATGAGTGCAAATGATAGACATAATAAGATAAAATCGTTATTTGATTAAATATTTAATTACAGACATCATGGATAATCTACAGAAATCGATATTTCACAAGGAACAACCATGGAACTAAGGAAAACGGGCGTGATGTTCCCTGTTGTAATGGGTAGCAATGTCCGGGTATATGGGTTAGCAACTTCCAGGGGCTATGGGTTTTGTAATGACGTGCGTTAACCAATCAAAATCATAGAAATATACTAAGCAGGGGATAAATTTTGATAAATCAACTGGTCTAATGTCATGCACATACTGCCAGAAGTTCCCCATCCATTCAGAAAATGAAAGTAAGGGGAACACAAAATCTTAAAATAGACCCAATAAAAATATACAAGTGACACTTCAGCATTTATCTTATCCATGAAAGTGACCCAAATTTTAAGTCTAAAGATTAATTGTCAGACACTAAACTTGGACAATGTATTCTCAAGCAGCAATATATGCCTGATCAGTTAAATAGATATAAGGTTCTTTTCAACACTGCATACAGTATTGCAAAAATGGGAAACCCTTCAGTGACTATGAATTTATTCTTGAAATCCAGTGCAAAAATGGTGTTGATGTGTAAGCAGTATTTCAATATTGAAGGTTGTAAACTGTTTATTCGCTGAATAACCCATTATATGAGAAACGAAACATCACATGCAGTTCAAATATGATGAAACAAACTAACCTTACTCCAAAAGCACATTAATTTTGTATCTTATTGAATTATGAAATATTTCATGTAAAAGTAGGACAAGGGATTTAGGTTGTGGACCTTTCAGTTTGGAGTGTCAAAGGTCCTGGACCTTCCAGTACAAAATGTTAACTTGAACCCCTGTTCTTACCCCTACCCCCCTTCAATTTATAATGTGCTTTTATTGTCGAGCCTGCGACTTTTGTCGCAGAAAGCTCGACATAGGGATAGTGATCCGGTGGAGGCGGCGGTACGGCGGCGGCGGCGTTAGCTAACTTCTTAAAAGCTTTATATTTTAGAAGGTGAAAGACCTGGATGCTTCATACTTTGTATATGGATGCCTCATGTTACGAACTTTCCGTCAGTCACATGTCCAATGTCCTTGACCTCATTTTCATGGTTCAGTGACTACTTGAAAAAAAAAGTTCAGATTTTTTGTAATGTTAAATTCTCTCTTATTATAAGTAATAGGATAACTATATTTAGTATGTGTGTACCTTGAAAGGTCCTCATGCCTGTCAGACAGTTTTCACTTGACCTCGACCTCATTTCATAGATCAGTGAACAAGGTTAAGTTTTGGTGGTCAAGTCCATATCTCAGATACTATAAGCAATAGGTCTAGTATATTCGGTGTATGGAAGGACTGTAAGGTGTACATGTCCAACTGGCAGGTGTCATCTGACCTTGACCTCATTTTCATGGTTCAGTGGTTATAGTTAAGTTTTTGTGTTTTGGTCTGTTTTTCTTATACTGTATGCAATAGGTCTACTATATTTGGTGTATGGAATGATTGTAAGGTGTACATGTCTAGCTGGCAGGTGTCATCTGACCTTGACCTCATTTTCATGGTTCAGTGGTTATAGTTAAGTTTTTGTGTTTTGGTCCGTTTTTCTTATACTTTATGCAATAGGTCTACTATATATTTGGTGTATGGAATGATTGTAAGGTGTACATGTCCAACTGACAGGTGTCATCTGACTTTGACCTCATTTTCGTGGTTCAGTGGTCAAAGTTAAGTTTTTGAGTTTTGGTCTTTTTTCTTATACTATATGCAATAAGTCAACTATATTTGGTGTATGGAAATATTCTATGATGTACATGTCAGTCTTGCAGGTTTTATTTGACCTTGACCTCATTTTCACGGTTCATTGCTCAGTGTTAAGTTTATGTGTTTCAGTCTGTTTTTCTTAAACTATAAGCAATAGGTCAGCTATATTTGTTGTATGGAAGGATTGTAAGCTGTTCATGTCTGCCTGGCATGGTTCATCTGACTTTGACCTCATTTTCACGATTCATTGGTCAATTAATAGTTTTCTTGGTTAAGTCTGTTTCTTAGAAACTATAAGCAATAGGTCAACTATATTTAGTGTATTGAATGAATGTAAGGTGTACATGTATTTCTCGTTTGGTTTATATAACCTTGACTTTATTTTCTTGGATCATGTTAAGTTTATGTAATAGTTGTAGTAAAGCTTTCATTTAGGACTATCAACATAATATCAATGGTTAGTAAAGAAGGCGAGACATTTCAGCGTGTCCACTCTTGTCTTGTAAACGGTTGAGATCCCTACTCCTAAACCATATATATTCTTGTATGGGACAATAAAACAAATCAAATGAAATATTGGGATAGTCCTCGGATTCACAGCCACCCTCCTTTTTTTTGAAAACTTGTAAATGTGCAAGCTCCCCACCCTGAAACCATATATATTCTTGTATGTTACAAATCAAATGAAATAAAAGGTGAGTCCCCTGGGGTCACCCCAAGCATGTCTGTTTTAGAACTTGTAAACGGTCAAGATCCCCACCCCTAAACCATATATATTTTTGTATGGGACAATAAAACAAATCAAATGAAATATAGAGGAAGTCCATTGTGGTAACCCCCCACCCCCTTCTGTTAGAGAAATTGTAAACGGTTGAGATCCCCACCCCTAAACCATATTTATTCTTGTATTTGACAATAAAACAAATCAAATAAAATTTAGGGGAAGTCCATGAGGGTAAACACCACCCCCTTATTTTTGAAAACTTGTAAACAGTCAAGATCCCCACCCTGAAACCATATATCTTCTTGTATATTACAATAAAACAAATCAAATGAAATAAAAGTCGAGTCCCCTGGGGTCACCCCACCTTTTTCCTGTTTAAGAACTTGTAAACTGTTAAGATCCCTCACCCCTAAACCATATATATTCTTGTATGGGACAATAAAACAAATCAAATGTAATATAGAAGAAGTCCATTGTGGTAACCCCCACTCCCTTCTTTTTGATAGCTTGTAAACGGTCAAGATTCCCACCCAGAAACCATATATATTCTTGTATGGGACAATATTTCAAATCAAATGAAATATAGATGAAGTCCAGGGGGGGTAAATCCCAACCCCTTCTTTTTGAAAACTTGTAAACAGTTGAGATCCCCACCCCTAAACCATATATATTCTTGTATGGGACAATAAAACAAATCAAATGAAATTTAACGGAAGTCCCAGTGGTAAACCCCACCCCCTTCTTTTTGAAAACTTGTAAACGGTTGAGATCCCCACCCCTAAACCATATATATTCTTGTATGGGACAATAAAACAAATCAATTGAGATTTAGGGGAAGTCCCCTGGGGTAACCCCCACCCCTTTTTTTTTTTGAAAACTTGTATACAGTCAAGATCCCCACCCTGAAATCATATATATTCTTGTATGTTACAATAAAACAAATTAAATGAAATAAAAGTCAAGTCCCCTGGGGTCATCCCCACCTTCTTTCTGCTTAAGAACTTGTAAACGGTCGAGATCCCCACCCCTTAACCATATATATTCTTGTATGGGACAATAAAACTAATCAAATGAAATATAGGGGAAGTCCATTGGGGTAACCCCTACCCCCCTTTTTTTTTATAACTTGTAAACGGTCAAGATTCCCACCCTGAAGCCATATATATTCTTGTATGGGACAATATATCAAATCAAATGAAATATAGGGGAAGTCCACGGGGGTAAACACTACCCCTTCTTTTTGAAAACTTGTAAACAGTTAAGATCCCCACCCCTAAACCATATATATTCTTGTATGGGACAATAAAATAAAGCAAATTAAATTTAGGGGAAGTCCCCTGGGGTAACCCCTACTCTCCTTTTTTTGAAAACTTGTAAACGGTCAAGATCCTTACCGCGAAACCATATATATTCTTGTATGTTACAATAAAACAAATGAAATGAAATAAAAGGTGAGTTCCTTGGAGTCGTTCTCACCTTCTTCCTGTTTAAGAACTTGTAAATGGTCGAGATCCCTGCCCCTAAACCATATATATCCTTGTATGGGACAAAAAAACAAATCATATGAAATAAAGGGCAGGTCCCCTGGGAAAATTAATCAGATAGTGTGTGTTATATTTGAACATAAACTAAATATATATAGGGTTCTTTCAAGTGCTGAATCTGAACTTGTTTTTAATTAGAAAATAATCTATTTTTATTATGAGATCAAGTTT